GTACATATAGTACCAATAAATGGTTCCGTCATTTTGAAGATGCATCAGCAATTATTTTCATGGTTGATCTTTGTTGCTATGATCAAGTGAGATGAAAATAGTATATATTTTAATTTTTGTCTCTTTTTTTCTGTAAGATTCCTTACGACATGTTTGAAAATCCAATGCATGAATCTCTTGAAATGTTTCATTCACTCTGTTCTTCACGATTTCTCAATTACAAACCAATATTTCTTTGTTTCAATAAAAAGGATCTCTTCGCTAAGAAGATTATTCGTTCAAGTTTGAGGTTAGACTTGTTGTTTTTTTTTTGTTTTATATTCCATAGAAAACTAATATTTCATATAGGCAATGTTTTCCTGAATACAATGGTCGTGATGAATATGGTGAAGCAAGCCAATATATTTTATCAAAATTCCTTCAGATGAACGAAGATCGATGCAAGGTATATTCATTATTATTCAATCATCTCTCTTTATATATGTGTAATAATCTTAGAAAATCTACCTTTTTTACATGTCAGTCACTGATACTGAAAATGTACAATGTATCATGTAAGTATTTTTATTTATCATAGGAAGTACTTAAACTTTATTGAAAACGTAAATAAATCAGTCAGAATAAAACTTTCTACTAAGTAAAATATCGAGATCTGCAAAACTAAGATCGTGAAAATAATGACACAGGATTATATTTTTTTTGACTAAGGTTTTTGGATACTTTCGTGCGATAAAATTCACTTTGACGAGAACAAATATTGCATAGGTCATTACTGGAGCTTTCGACGGTATGTCAAATTCATACTTGCAATAATACATTTATAATGAATTATAACAAATAGAAAATCAATTATCTACTAATAAGATTTTGCTTATACTAAAAGATTTTCTTCTGAATTTATAGAAATGGCATTATAGAAAGAAGTTTTGGATTTCAACACATCAAGTAAATGATTTCCAATCTACATTATTTGTTCGTATTGCTTTATAATTTAATAAAGTCTGAATTTATTCACGACAACCAGCATAATCAAATTGATTTTATTCTTTATTTAACATATTTGAGCATTCTTATCGATAAATTAACAACAAACGATTTAAATATTGAATTTCTTTCTTCAACAACAATTATCCATAAATCAAAGTATAATTGATTGTTAATATTCACCTAAGGTTGGCCGTAAAAATGTGGAAAAAATAATATCGACAGGAAAAATGGTTGATAAATATTTTGAAGAGTTGTGAATAGTGAAGAATATTTTACATAATATGAATTAATGTTAATATTCTAACAGTTATCAAATGCAGATAATGAAAAAAAATTGATTTATAATTTTTTCTGCGTAGCAACTATAAGTTGTTGTTTTATTCAGTTTGAAAACATAGTCATCTACTACAAGTCAAGATTTTTCTTTATTCGAATTTAAAAATGAGATACTAATCGGGTTACCTCCCTTTAAGAATTAGCAGTTTCAGTCTTGACAATAGAATTTTAGTTAATATAATAGTTCTTCGTTTAATCCTCTTATTTAATTTTTATCAGGTATTAGTCGTCAAAATCACGATTGATTAAACTTCTGTACTATTAAAATTATGAGAAAAACAACAATGAACCAGACGTGGTTAGAGTCACAATTTATTAGAGACATCATCTTTTTTGATATTTTTCTATTAAAATATTCTTCTACTTCCATCTTTACTTTTCGACATTTTTCTCCTTCGATATTTTTCCTTTAGACACTTTTCCCCTATTTTTTTCGACATTTTTCCAGCACACCTGATCTAATGGCTAATGTATGTTCAGAAGAAATGTAGTCACATTGATACGTATATATACTTTCAGTTGCTATACTATTGCAGTCAATAGAAATATCTCAATTGAATAATAGACCATCAACGAAAAATAAATATTTTCGATTCGTTATGATCGACAGAGCATACAGTAATCCATTGTTTATCTGATGTTATGATTGCATATCTTGGAAACATTTACATATTGGTTATAAGTGTACTTGAACCGATACTATCTTGATGATATTTTAATTCAATATTTCAAACTAATTAGTTGAAGAACCAGAAGTGAAAGAAAACGAGAAAAGCGAATGATTATTGCTAAAATTCTTTAGAAAAAGATTTGAATATGTGTCTAGATTTCAGCTCACATTGATACGTTCAACAATGGCTATGCTGCTCTTGCATTATAATTATTTAGAATAAGACTTCAACTACTGTTTTTTAATTTTGATTATGCTAGTCTTTTTTCGATTCAATCAATTGAAAATGTTTTGAAAAAAATGATTGTCAACGAAGTAGTACTTCACATCGTCGAAGATCAATAATATTCATTGTGTGCAAATGTATGTTATTTTGAATAGTATCATAAAGTACTTGTAAAATTATTTACGCATTGTATTATCCTTGAGCAATAGAGAAAATCTCTCTTTATATTACTGCCATTACATTCTGATTTCAATCAGAACTTTGTGCTATTCAATTGATCTAAAGCAAAAGTTCATATTAGATACTCAGATAGGTTAGGGGTGTGGGTGTGGATGTGGGTGTGGGTGGGGCGTGGGGCGTGGGTGTGGGTGTAGGTGTGGGTGGGGTGTGGGTAAACATATTAAGATCTCACACCCACACCCTCTTTACAAATAACCAACGTGATCGTATTGAATATACCTATAGTTCGAGTCTTAGAATTTTACATAATCTTTGTCAATGGGATGACTTTACTACTGTAGTACTAGCTCGTGAAAAAACCCTTCGTGATTATCTATATAAGTATTGGAGACGATTTGCTCACCACCTTTTAAATTCTGATGAAGGTCTTGCTTTTCAACAATCTTGGAATGCTTATCTAATTATTCCCACACCAAATAGTTGGATGAGGACCTTAAATTTTAGACGTAATAATGTATTTTCAAGTAGACTTATTCAACAGGCAACTCACTGTTTAGTTGAGTGGTTAGTGTTTGAAGAAGCCCATAAAACGCAATATGAATATTTCAGGAATTCAAATAAATATATAAATGATTTTGTATACAAGTACTTCTCACAACATCCTTCAGCTGTCATATATGATGTGTAGACTATAAGTCATATCGATCACTGTTTATCTTTTCCTCATTTCTAGAACCTTATTTGCTTGAATATATGTTTGATCTTATTATTTTTTTTCTTTTTTTGCTGTTTATGTGTATTTTTATATGTTAGTGTGATACATATAGGGCTTTCTTTATCCCATCTATTTTCTTTTGTTTCCTATACTATTTGATGCAGAATATCTGTATTACATGTATTTCTTTTTTTTTCTTTTTTTTCTAGTTATATTACTCTAACTGTGAACCAGGTACAACATGGCACAATAAAATAAATAGATTTAAAAAAAAAGTATCATTTAGTAACAAACTCAACTCTGATGAAGAGGGTGTGGGTGTGGGTGGGGGGGGGGGGTGGGGGTTTTTGTGGGTGTGGGTGGGTGTGAGTGTGGGGTGGGTGTGGGTGTGGTTATGAGTCTGCACGATGAAGAGAAGATTCACACAGACACGCACCCACGCACATTCACACCCACACCCATACACCCACACCCATACACCCACACCCACACCCACATCCTACAAAAACTGTCAATCAGAGTATGTGTATTACTTTTGTTGATGACTTATTTTTATCAAATAATCGACTAAAAATACAAAAAGCTCGTAAGAGAAACAAAGAAAATAATGAAAACAGTTCTGATCAAGACCATAGAATCTTTCAGCTTGAGTGCTATTAAAAATGCCATGATATGTATAGAAAAAATAACAAAGCGAAGCATTTTATTAGGAATATCCGCCAGATACATAAGGAGTGTGAATTGTTTTTATGTGGATTCAGAAAAAATCTACATCTTATGAGTGTTGACGAGATCAAAATAGAGCGTTTGTACTATATCGACGTAATTCTCTCATGAAAATGTTTGAAAAGAATAGAAAATTTTTATAGATGTACATAATCAACCTTTTATGAGTATTTCTCTCTTTCATTCAGCTACTAATATCATTTTAAAAACATGTTATTATGCAGTATTGATAACTATGTAGTCATTTACATCTTCGGCTTGATGACGGACCCCGAAAATTTCAATCAAGAAAATTCTGTTAAGATTTCTAAGCTCACATAAGCATCAAGAAGTTTAGTATAAATAAAATCTAACATTTAGGACTTGTATTAAATTCTAATTTTCCTTTTCTGTAAAGATTAAACCCAGACCTCATAACAATTCAAAACAATGTCTGATCATATTATAATGCTAAAACTGTCATCTCGAATTACACAGAAGAAAAATTTTTCACGTGTTTCATTCGATTCCTGTCACCTGAGATAGAGCTACAATGGTCTACCTTTACGTACATGAAATATTTGCATGTATATGTGGGGTGTGGGTGTGGGTGTGGGGTGTGGGGTGTGTGGGTGTGGGGTGTGTGGGTGTGGGTGTGTGGGTGTGGGTGGGTGTGTGGGTGGGTGTGGGTGTGGGTGTGGGTTGTGCGGTGTGCATGAACACACGATCCGTATCTACACCCACACCCACAATAATATCTTCAACTCAGATAATGCAAAGCGCTTAATCAGAACGTATAATATAACGGAAGATTTTCCATCTGACATTAAAGTTAACATAAAAAGAACAACTGATGATGTTAGGTATATCTACTATGTTATGTTGACATTACTTTGATCAGCAATTATCTTATCCTATATGTAATACCATTGACTAATCATATTATTCAGTCTGGATATTTAAATCTATCATTACACACAGTTTTTTTCTTATCAATAGGATTCAAATTCTATATAAATAACTTTAAAGTATTCTATCGTGTTTTATACTTTATTCATTTGTAGTTTATATTAAATACTTTTGTCCTACTTATGTCTTCTGTTTGAAAAGCTTCAATTAAATGAACAACAGCACTTCTCTTAATGGGACTTTCGATACGTAGAAAAAATAAATGAGATTTGTCATTCTATTAATTGTAAACAAAATATTCGTTTACATGATTCTCGATAATTAGCTTCAACTTGAATATCATCTTGATTTGTTAATTTTAGAAGTTCTTTTTCTTCTACATAAAAATAAATTTAATCTATTTATTATTTATTTCGTTTACAATAATGTATTACCAAGAGGTAATCCAGGTTTTTGAAGTAATTTTATAACAGATAGTGAAAGTGTATCGGATGCTTTCAGTAATTTTTCAAACATATCTCTAAGCTATTAAATACAAAAAGGAATTCGTATAATAATGTAATTATTTAAAAAATGTTTAGATTTTTTGTTACTTTTGCTTCAGTTTGTTCCTTGGAATACTCAAGTTTTTCATGCATACTTCATACTGCTTCATTTTTTAATCTTGATCGAGCATGATGATTGCGAAATGCACCTTGAATTTTTATTGCAGTATTACCAACTAAAATAAAATTATTTTTATTTGAAGTTAAATATTTTCGATCTTTATTTCTTATTCCAATAGAAAATCTAGTCAATCTAAGAGGGATGCCATTCAAAGTAGAATCTGAAACAAAAAAGAATTAAAAATTATTTCTGAGAGTTTTATCTTTCCAAAAACATTGATTGATTTGTAAACGATATAATAGACTTGTATTCTCTGAATTGTCAACCGACAGAATAATAAGAATAATCATCATTCTATAATCAAATATCGATAGCTTTTGGCACATTCCATAACGATAAACATATATCGAAGATATTTACACTGGGAATCACAAGAGTTTCCTCCTAAAACAATTTTTGGTTTTTGTTACTCTGCATCTTATATTTATTATTCGACTACGAATAACAAAGAAGAGCTGGAACCCATTGTATATTTTGACGCATTTACTTTCAATATCCAATTCTATTTCAACTACCAAAAATGTATTAAGAAAAAAATGGTGACCTTTCTTCTTTCACAATATCAGAATATTGCAACATTTTTAAATTTGGAGATATTTTGGCTCAGGTAAATCATGAAATCTTGAACTTTTTCTCTAAAAGATGAGATTCGCTTCACTTCTCATTGATAGTCATTTCTAATGCTCACTCAATATTAGATTAAATTAAGCACACAAGTAAAATCTTATTTGCTTTTTCGACTAGTTTTAGAACGTATTCTAACTATTGTTTTAACTAATACTTTGAGAAAATGTTCACACAAAAGATATATTGCATGATGCATTCCGTTTCACGAATTTGTTAACAAACACTAAAGAAAAAAAATATTCTAATTCAAGAAATATGTATTGAAACTATCTTGAGGGTGTGGATGTTAGTTTTCTCTTCATCGATATCGGGATCCGGTCGGATCTGGAAAGCTTGCATTGATCGAGTCTGAGTCTGAAGAAAACTTTCATGTATATAATATTTTTTGAATTTTTTAAAGAATTTGTTCGTTTCATAGAAACAGCATTAAATTGATTGATAGAATAGATAAAAATCAACAAAAATTCTTGCCTGTAACATCTAAACCAAATTACCATTGTGTTTAGATCCACAAAATTTGACCGTCCGGGTAAGAGTTCAGAAAATTGTAAATAGGTCTAGAATCAGGTACAAAAATTTTAAATAATCGGATCCAAGTTCAGAAGTTCTTGACCTAGACGGGTTCTAGTGGATGTGTGAAAGAGAATATTAGATCAATAAATCGTCACACATAGTCCATAAATCCATTCACGCCCCGTTTTTTGGTACAACTATCAATAATATATTATTATAAAAATATCTGTTGTTTATTGACCAACAATCAACCTTATTATTAGACAGTGAAAAAATGTGTTTCGTTTTCTCTTAAAAAAAAATAACAGTAGTCGTTAAAAATAGAAAACATCTAACTTGATCGAAATTGAACATAGATTTATGATAACGTTGTAATATATTCGCACACTTTTTAAACAGAAAAAAAAGTTATCACGTAAACATAGCTGTATTAGTAATTATTTCGCATAAACAAGTAATTGCTTGTTTAAATACAAAGATTAACATTGCATTCATCAATTGCACTTGACTGTTTCTGTAGACTCATAGTAAACTGTGACGTTGACATCATCTGAAGGTTTTAGATACCATTCTTTGGCAGGTAAACTATCTAAATGTTTTAACTTACGCCAGAACAATCTTATCCATATTAAACCTAGGAGAACACATCCTGCTACTTCAATAGAATATACATGAGATGCCGGTAACCAACTTGCAATATACAATACTAACGTTGACATAAAACTTTGTCCTAAATTAGATATGGTTGCTAATAATGTCATATATGTTCCGGCTATTTGTGGTTCACTAATACGTGCAGAAAAGCCAACACGTGAGACTACCATTATATACACAGCTGCTTGATTCATGCAGAATAAAATAATTAGAACAGGATAAAAATATGATCTCTGAACGATATCTGGTATGAAGTATATGTAAATAGCCAAAACAACAGCACTTATTAAACGGAAAATATAACCATAACCAAACCATTGTAAATGACGTTGTATTTGACTCATAAACAACGGTACTACAATATGTATTGCAACTGGAGGAATATTTAGAAGAGCAATAGTATCACGTGTTATGCCATATCTATATATTCATATTAAAATTAAATGAATCTATAAGTTAAACTTACTCTAATAAGGATAAAATAGTCATATAATTCGTTGCTGCAAAGCCAATATCGAAAGTTAATAAGATTACGGCATATTCGCACATACATTTCTTTCGAAATAACTTTAATATCGATGAATATGTTTCAGACAAATCTAATTTTTTATAAATTATTTTTTGTATATTAACATTCGTTGTTTTATTTAATGATTTCTTCGGAAAGAAGATGACTAAAATAATAATATTTACAATGATAAATTGTGCACCTCCAAAAAAAGTAAATTCTTGAAGAGAAAATAATCCAGATGAACGTTCAGGTAAAGAAAGAGGTTTTCGAATATATTCATTCGTAAAATTTGATGATTCAAATATTATAAGCACTGTAGAACTAAGAAAATATCCAATAACTTGTCCAATTGTTTGACAAGTTGATGCCCATTGAGGATTTAAATTAGCAAATAATAAAACAGATAATCCATCAACAACAACATCTTGGCTTGCTATTAGAAAATATATAAAGAAAAAAATAATTGTCAATGTCACAATTTGTCGATTGATTAATAAAGATTCCAAATAGAATGAAAGAATTATGAAGATAATACCAATTGTTATTTGAATAGGTATTAGCCATGTTAGATAACGACCAAACCGATAATGGTAAATTGAATCCAATATAGGTGCCCAGAGAATTTTTAAACTGAATGGATAAAAAGTCCAACTAAATATACCTTGTTCTTGCCATGATGCTTTATAAAAAGCCAAATATAATTGAATCGATGCTGTAAAACCTTGAACGAATCCTTGTAAAAGATAAAGTATTATGATAGTTAAAATATGCAATGTCAGATGATTTTGTTTTAGTGGCATCTCAAAACAACATTTATTTCATTTCATTGAATATAGAAACAAACTATGAAATTTAATTTTAAAAGAAATTTACTGGAATAGAAAAGGATATACGTTTTCAGATGAACGGTACCCTCATCCGATTGACTCAGATTTTTGAATGAGAATGCGAAGTACACTGAGATCTCGCACTCCTTTTCAGCAGATGAAGTGAGATGTTACACTCCTTTTTTACGCATCAAAGTGCAAATATATAAATGTATCTAGAAAAAGGAAATAATAGTTTATATTTCATTCTCTCGACTTCTCTGTACATGGATAGATATAAATCATAATAAAAAATAATGTGTAAATTATCATTAAATCACAGGATTAACAAAAAAAAACTCAGTCATCAAGACTATCTGTACATCTAGATATTCATTCTAGTTCACCAAAAATAAATATAATTTCAAAATTATTCGGTTATTACTATTATTTGAGTTTTCTTTTGATTGATCGAATAATGATCTGGTTGATTGAATAAAAAATCTTTCTAAAAATATTGTTTGCGAGAGTGTCTAGATGACTGTTCTTTATTCATCATCTGAAATAAGAATAAGAGAAGACAATTTGCATGAATTAAATAAGAAAATGCATTATAAAAATGAAAAAAGTCAATACAAATTAGAACATAAGGCAAAGTGAAAAATGTTATAATAGAGTGCAAAATATCGTGCAAATCAAAAATAAGTGCGATACACGCATCATTCGGAACACCGATCTGAACAGCAAAGAAAAAAATATATTGGTTAATCTATTTTAATCAATGAGTACGAAAGAACAAGAGATGGCGTAAGTCTCTATGCCGAAGAGAATGATTAAATAAAGCAGCAATTCAGATTCATACTTAATGGTATTTGTTTGGAAAAAAAAAAGAAACTTCACAGACAGAAAAAGAAATCTATTGACAAATAGAGATGAAGATATATAGTAAACTGTGGTAAACGTATAACGTGATACAGTAAATTCTAGTAAAATGGCTATAACTTTTTTTTTATTTTTTTAAAAAACTTGCCTCACAAGATATGTAGCTGGATGTATTTTCGATTATGCTTTTACCCCATATGGATCTAATATATAATCTCGCTAGTTGCACTGCGATAAACGTATAATTCTAGCCATTGTTCATATTCGAGCGATTGGTACTTTTTTTTTATTATTTGTTTAACCAATTGATAGTTCAAAATGTTCTCCATCACTCTAAACTAATCTTGAGGTTGTAAGTCAAGGTCTATAGTTTTTTTTTAAAAGCTTATAAAATGAGCTCCAAAAAACATTTCGTATACATTTGCCCCCTGTGAATTGTGTGTAAAAGCGTCATTACGCTTGTAGAGAAAATGTGTAATATCAGGATATTGTGCTGGATGTGAATGTGAGTTAATATGAGTAACAGAAAACATATCCACCATCATACCCACACTCTTCTCTCATTACAGTGTTTTGCATTTATATGTATGAGTTGTGTAAGAACCATTTTCTCCGTTTTTTTTTGTTTGTCCTGATGAAACGTGGCAAACACGGATGAATGCAAATAGGACGGTAACTACTGTTCACACCATCAAACACCCAGTCAATTGCCCCATCAGTGGGACATTTCTATAAACTTTCTTGATGTTTTCAATTTGGAAGAAGTTCTATTGATTTTTATTTCGATTGTCAATGACAAAATTTAACAACTATATTTTATCGTAGGTAGTATTACATCGATCTTCGGTTTTTCCTTGTTGAAACGGCTTTTTAGTGGATAGAATGCATGTAAAGAAGAATCTTCCAAATTTAGAAGATTTCATAAGGGAGTTTAGGACTTATTTGAGACGAGAATTCTCATTCTGTTACGGTATAATTTTGAATGCATACAATCACTTACTGATTACATTTTCACTTGTGATATAACACCGTTTTTATTTCATTGAAAATCCTAGAAATTTTATTAAGTTGGTCACAGCTCCGATTGATTTTGTACAGGGTGGTAAATAATATTATTCCAGGGGGGTAACACTATGATCTCGAATCGGAGATATCATGAATTTTATACCAAATGAAAGCTCGTGAAAAATGGGGTTTAGTGATAGTAAATAGTAAGACTTTGAAGAACTTTCTTGTATTAATTTATCAAACGTTACGATTTTTATCGACATAAAATATTATAAAATCAGTTCATCGAAAAAGTTCGGGGCTAAACTATATGTTGTACAACTGTTTATTTTCTTATTATTTATTGAGTACAATCAATAATCAGTATGACGACCATTAGCACTCTTTACTGCACGAAGTCGAGATGGATACGAACATAAAAGAGCTTCAAACAATTCGGTATTTTCTTCCATGTCCGTCAAAACATCCGCAATGTGCTTTTTAAGTGTGTCTTCACTATATCGATTATGTCCAGTTTCCGATAACATTTTTTTGTTCAACTTCATCTTTCATTATTGATCCAATATGTTCCGCCGCATTGAGATCGGGCGAATTACCAGGCCAAATATCATTGCCCCAAAACTCGATTTTGTTATCTCTAATCAGATGTTGAGTCATGTTTGCTCGCATACACGGTGCTTTATCGTGAACAAATATCACATTATCCAGATCAATTACGTTTTCCTCGTCGGTGAGGAATGGAAATACGTGTTGTATTAAAATAATGTCACGAAAATATTGACCGGTCCAAGATTCACCTTTGTCTTTAATCACCCAATGCATTTTTTTCGCGGTGAAAATGATAAAAATACCGATACACGCTTGGTTTTTAACCATTTCGCGATACCTTTCATCGTCTTCAATATCTTCAACACTTTTTGCCCAAATCCTATCATTTTGATAATTTGGTTTGCGAACTGTCCAAACATAAAATTCATCTGATGGTGCCAGATGAAGAAAATCTTCTTCAGTCCAATCTTTCAACCAATCACAGAGCCATAATCGATCTGATATATGAGTTTCAGATTTTAACGGTCTTGAAATAACATGAAAAGGCTTTAATCCTTCCCTACGACGGTAGTTATTAACTGTTTGTCGAGTAACATATTCTTTTTGTTTCTTTGCAATCTCTTTCGCCACGACAGAACCGCTTTTCCGTTGGTGACCACTTGCTTCACGAATAATGTCCTGAGCAGCTCTCGATAACTTGAGTTTAGGACCAGCATTCGAATAATCAGCAAAACATTGGTCACACGATTTTTCCCACCATTCTGTAACAAATCGAGTCGTACGGTGAATTTTGTCGGCAATCCATTGTCTATTTATAAATGTTGCACCAGCATCACGAGCTTCTCGGAAAGTAATGCATTTAATTCTATCAATCATTCTTTGTTGTTCGGTATCATAAGCGCCAGCCATTTGAAATAACAAACGAAAAAACACTGAGATTTCACTCGACTATAACTTTCAGACAGTCCGAGAACGAAAAAATTTTTCAAATAACTAGTATCACGTGGAGAGAAGAACAGAACGCCAAAGAACCATCTTATTGTGTGAGTCATAGTCATATATCATCATCGTTATCATTTCTCTTTCGTTTTCATAAAAAATGTTCGTTTTCAATGTCTCAAAATGTATGAAAAATGATTTTTAACGTGTTTTTGAAAGAAAATTTCGTTGTTTTTAAAAATTTGGTACACGAAAGTTCTTCAAAGTCTTACTATTTACTATCACTAAACCCCATTTTTCACGGGCTTTCATTTGGTATAAAATTCATGATATCTCCGATTCGAGATCATACTGTTACCCCCCTGGAATAATATTATTTACCACCCTGTACAACCCTCAATAGAGCTGAAACACAGAACTCATATTAGAATTCAATGCAAACAAAGGAGACCAATGGAAGAAAGGGTACCTAGAAATTAAGACTGAAATCGAAATACGCAAATGACTACAATAGACGAAGCATCATTTGACTATACCATAGTTACGAATTGGCGAAAGTGAAGAAGAATAGATGTCACATTAGTTGTTTAAGATTATATACATCTACATCAGTATTATTCATTCTTTTGAGACCAATTCTAGGGTGTGGGTGTGGGTGGGTGTGGGTGTGGGTGTGGGTGTGAGTGGGTGTGGGTGTAGGTGTGGGGGTGGGGGTGGGTGTGGGGGTGTGGGTGTGGGTGGGTGGGGTGTGGGTGTGGGTGTGTGGATGTGGATGTGGATGTGGCTGTTCTACTCATCAACACCCACACTCACACCCACACCCCCCCCCCCCCACCCACACCGACGCATCCACACCCACACCCACACCCACACCGACCCATCCACACCCACACCCACACCCACCAACACCCGCAGCCACACCCCACCAACACCCACACATTACCCGCACACCCTTATTTATGATATTTTTTTGCATCAACATCTGTTTGCTCGGACCTGAAAATCAGTTCAATATTGGATATTAAACGAGTTAAATCAGTTACTAGACTATTTGTCGTTGGTAATGTGGCAGGCCATCAGAAAGTCTGACAATAAATCAGACGAAGGAGCTCACTGTGTGAAGACCACACATGATAATGATCTCTTTGGATAAGAAACAGGTAGTGCGGTTGAACTAAACAAGACAGTAAAGAATAATGAGTGTGAAGTTGATGGATTAGGGTTCTTGAGAACGTCTACCCTACAGAAAAGTCACACAATAATCGACCGTTTTACTTAAGGAAGTTTTTAAAGAATTCTTGAAAGATTTATTCCGATGTTAGACATCCGTAGAGAGTTTATGAGCGGAAGGGTTTATGAGAAAAGTGTATATGTAAATAAAAACGGTATTTTATTCATATTTACATGTTTATTATTGAACACTTACAACAGGGTCGATTATTAGTCTACGCACAAGCGTAAATTGTTCTATAATTTCAACAATAGGCTAGTTTATTCCACGGTTTTAGCCAAAATTGTTTATTATTCTACGCAGAAAAGTAAATCGATCTGCGTTTCCTTCAGAATGGTTGATTATTTTGACCACAATTGTAGAATATTTAACATTTTCCTTTACA